GCGTAAAGGAAAATGTAAAGACAGAAAAGGAAAATCTAAAGATGGAAAGACAGAAACTGTGCCAAAAGAAATGTCTGATGCAGCAACTCTAGAGAATAAATTACCTGAACCTCAAACGAAACAAGAGGTACCAGTAGAAACGATAAAGGAAGAATTGAAACAAGGAGATGCAACTAAAAGCGATGAACATAATGCTATTGAAAAGGAGACAGAAATAAAACAAGAAGATATAACAAAACTCGAATTTGAATCCAAGTCTGAACCTATTCAGGAAATAAAGTCTGAGGAACAAGCAGCTACGGAAAAGCGTAAAGGAAAATGTAAAGACAGAAAAGGAAAATCTAAAGATGGAAAGACAGAAACTGTGCCAAAAGAAATGTCTGATGCAGCAACTCTAGAGAATAAATTACCTGAACCTCAAACGAAACAAGAGGTACCAGTAGAAACGATAAAGGAAGAATTGAAACAAGGAGATGCAATTAAAAGCGATGAACATAATGCTATTGAAAAGGAGACAGAAATAAAACAAGAAGAATTAACAAAACCCGAACTTGAATCCAAGCCCGAACCCATTCAGGAAATAAAGTCTGAGGAACAAGCAACTGCGGGAAAGCGTAAAGGAAAATCTCGAGACAAAAAGGGAAAATCTGTTTTGAAACAAACATTTGAAACACCAACTGGAGAAATGAAATTACCAGAACCTGAAACGAAAAAAGAAGTACCAGTAGAAACGATAAAAGAAGAATTGAAACAAGAAGATGGAACTAGAAGCGATGAACATAGTACTATTGAAAAGGCGACAGAAATAAAACAAGAAGAGATAAAACCCGAACTTGAATCCAAGCCCGAACCCATTCAGGAAATAAAGTCTGAGGAACAAGCAACTGCGGGAAAGCGTAAAGGAAAATCTCAAGACAAAAAGGGAAAGTCTGTTTTAAAACAACCATTTGAAACACCAACTGAAGAAATGAAATTACCAGAACCTGAAACGAAAAAAGAAGTACCAGTAGAAACGATAAAGGAAGAATTGAAACAAGAAGATGGAACTAGAAACGATGAACACAATGCTGTTGAAAAGGAGACAGAAATAAAAGAAGAACAAATAACAAAATCCGAACTTGAATCCAAGCCCGAACCCATTCAGGAAATAAAGTCTGAGGAACAAGCAACTGCGGGAAAGCGTAAAGGAAAATCTCGAGACAAAAAGGGAAAATCTGTTTTGAAACAAACATTTGAAACACCAACTGGAGAAATGAAATTGTCAGAACCTGAAACGAAAAAAGACGTACCTGTAGAAACGATAAAAGAAGGATTGAAACAAGAAGATGGAACTAGAAGCGATGAACATAGTACTATTGAAAAGGAGACAGAAGTAGAACAATTAGAAATAAAATCTGAAGTGGAATCCATGCCTGAATTTGCTCCAGATACGAAGCCTGAGAAACAGGCAACTACAAAAAAGGGTAAAGGAAAATCCAAAGGTCAGAAGATGGAAACTGTTCTAAAACAGACGACAAAGACATCAACTGAGGAGAAGGAATTACCTGAATCTGAAACGAAAGGGGAAGTACCGGTAGAAATAATAAAGGAGAAATTGAAACAAGAAGTGATAACAACAACTAAAGAGGAAGACAATATGGTTGGAGACGGAAAAATGGATGTTCTCTTAGAACTAACATCTGAAACTCCGATTGAAGAGAAAAAATTACTTGAATTCGAAATGAAAGGATGGAGGACCGATAGAAATCACGAAAAAAGAATTGGAACAAGAAGGCGGTAATATACTTGAAGAGAAAGAAACCGCAGCGATGCCTGAAAAAGAAAAATTATTAGAAGAACCTAAAAATGAAACTTCTTCATCTATCGAAGAAAAAGTAATAGATAGTGAAGCAAAAGTAAAGGAAGAGAAAGTAGACAGCAAAGGACAAACAAAAGCAGAAGATAAATCTAAACTTTCAAAAAAGGAGAAGAAGAAACAAAAGAAGAAGGAAAAATCAATCAGTAGATCAACCAGTGAGGAAAAGTCGAAAGATGAAAAACCAGACACAACTCCACAAGAGAATATAGAAATAGTTGACGCATTATTAAAAGAAGAAAAAACAATTGAGGTACCTATAGAAACAACTATGAGAAGTGAAGAGATTAATAAAGAACGTCAGATCAGAGAAAAGACACCTTTGATCATTTCTGAGAAGATTACCGATGAAATAAAACTAGCACCTGAAACAATATCAAAAATCGTACCTAAAATGAATGGAAAAGAAAAAATAGAGTTACCAAAACAAATACAAGACGAAGTAAAGGTGGTAGATGCACTTCTATTAGTCGCGAAAGAAATGAAAGAAGATGTGAAAGGGCAGGAGTCGACACCTCCTTCCAAGGATAAGTCGAAACATAAAAGCAAACAGCCGAAAAAATCTAAACATGACGAACAAGAAATAGTACCACAGTCTGCAGATACGGAATCTCAATCTTCAAAAGATGAACAGAATGTTGAAACATTAAATTCAATACTTACGACAACTCAAGAAATAAAAGAAAAAATAGATCAACAGAGGGACGTAATAATATCTGAGACAATTGATGAAACAAGTATAAAAAAATTGGAAATTGAAGACAAACACGAAGTAAAGGAAAAAGCAGAAGACATAGAAAATATAAACGAACAGAAAGTTGAAGAAAACATTGTAAAACCTCAAGAATTGGGGGAAAAATCCTCTCTAGATGATACTTCGCAGAAAACAGAGGAGAAACTAATATCTCAGCCTATAGAGAAGATAGATATGAAAGAAGAGAAATCTAATACAGAAAAGTCTGAAGAAAAATTGAATAAAACTGATGAAAAGAATATGCTTGATACATCACAAATTATTGAAGTAGAGACTATTAAACAAGAGAAAATCATTCCACTCGAAGTAAAATCAGAAGAAGTCCTCAAGCCTGTCGAAATAATAGCGAACGATAAGAAAGAACCTGAAAGACTCGAAAAAGAAATAAAGAAAGTCGAAGAAATCGAAGAGATTCAACCAGAAATTGAGAAAGAACTCGAGAGTATAATTAAAGGAACCGATCGAGTTCCTGAAGAGACGACTCCAATCGAGAAATTAATACACGAAATTGAATCACCCATAGCGCTTGATTCTATTCAACTCCAATTGGAAACGGAGGAAGAATTCGAAAAATGCATATCGAGTGAACCGGAAATCGAAAACGTAGATATAGTGATCGAGCCTGCGAAACCGAAAGTGCAATTTTATATAGCTGACGAAATTCTAGTTTTGAGTCCCGAGAAAAAGAAACCAGTTCAAACGCCCCTGATCTTAAAAACCCTATCAGAACTCAGTAGGTCCAAATTCCTCTCCCTTGATAGCGGCTTCTGGCCGGACAAGCATCCCTATCACGAAGCTGAACGCTACCTATTCGAGAATCTTGCTAATTATGGTAGGGACAATACTTCTGATGAAATAAATCACGATTCTAACGATCCGGATGATTTCGATGGGGATCGAGATGGTAGGAATCTGAACGACCGGGGGGGAAATGGTGGTCCGTTCAATTCTTATTTTATGGGCGGACCTCAGACCGAACGTTTGATCGCTGATCTTCCCGGTGGTATTGGTAGCTGGACCGATTATAGTACTTATTTGTCGAGCGAGGACGAGCAGAGAACGGATCAGTCCGTAGAGACACCAGTCTCGAATTTAACCCATCGTTTTGAATTATCCGCTGTCCATCTCAAGGATGATCAATCGATTTCGAAATTGGGAGATGAGTTATCAGAAATATCTGAGGAGATAAAGTTGCAATCCGCTTCCGATGAACAAATTTCGAAGTTGGATCGCGAAACCGTGTATCCGGTTCAACAGTTAGAGTCCATCTGTCCCGAGTTCTCCTTGAAACCAAGCACCCTCGATCATGATCCCGATCCTAAGGAACATTTAGGTAGAGAAAGAGGATCGATGCAGCGGCGCACTCGAATTGTGGAGACGGAGAGAGAGACGGGGGTAGCTGAAGATGAGGCTGAAAAAAGGATACGAGGGATCAAGGTGCGATCACGACACAAGCTGCGCTCGATCTTTTTTTACTCAATCGAGCTTGAAACGAGTTTCAATCCTTGTTGTTGTTTTAATCATTGCTGTATCGTGCGGTACTCGCGTGTACGCACGTATAAATGCGTGTGCGTGTGCGTGTGCTTGGCACAATGTTTTCTATCTTATGCCCTCGTTTTTTGTTTTCTTTTTGTTTGTTCATTTTACTATTCCTTCCTTACATTAAACTATTTTGTTGTCTGTACATTTCATCATGTTTATCAATCTTTCATCAACTTCTGTACTTCGAGCGTGCCTCTTTCTACTCGTTGACTCTTACGTTTTCACTCTTTGCTAGTCGCTGTCAAATCGCTATATTACTGCTGCTACATTGCAATCGCTTCTCGGTGTCGCTATGTCGACTCTTTCCTCCACTTTGATTTGCATGTTAGAGTTTACTTTAATGCACGTGCGTAACTTGATTCTTGGCTTGCATCGCGATAAATACAAGTCAGTTCTGTATCGAACAATTTTTTCTTCTTAAAGGAAGAAGTTTTAAATAATTATTTGACACATATTTTTTATACCTATTTTTCAGATTCCTCTTTTATACTTGACATAAGAGGCAAAGTTTTTAATATCATCTTAGCTTCGAAGTTAACTCGATGCTAAACTAGATGTTTTTCTAAATATTTTATACATATACAACAGTTTGATCTAAATTTTATTTTTTATCTGCATGAATGATAGTGTTTTTAAATGACCTATTTCTTTTAAACATATAGTATTATTACAAGCGTTTGAACGTTTTTTAATATTATCATTCGTTGACAATTTGTCCAGTTTTCTTTAATCGATTAATTATTAACAGACTAAGAAGTTGATTAAGAAGTCTGATGTGCACGGCATCCTTTAATCGTCACTATTGCTTAAATTGTTCCCGACGTTCATTAATACGTACCTATGTTACAGGACATCATAGAAGAGCGTCTAATGGTCTTACAACTGAGCCTATCGAACTTAAGAGGAACTTATTTACCGCGAGATAGCGTAGATTCCATGCTGTCTGCACTCATGGTGAGACTACACTCAACGAAAGATAAAAATCTTTCTTCCCGTCAATATACTTTGGTTCTTCTAGTAGAGCTTTTTAAAATCTCATAGAAACACATTCGTATGATTCCGTACCGGGAACAGTTCATGCGGATTTTCGTTAATATATTTAATGTAAAGATTTATGCCTCAATATTGGCAAACAGATTTTTTTTTAAAAGAAAACTGAGAAATTGTATAAAAAGCGGAAACTTATAAATCGTTTACGAAAATAAAAATCTTCGATGAATAAAATCACGTTGTAAAAAAAGATATGATTTTAAAGAGAATCTGCATTAACTTTTTCCGGTACTTAATATTTATCAGGTAAGTAGGAATGTAAAAATTTGTTTCCAGAATCTGTTAACGCAGTTACGAAATTATGATCAAGAGGCCCGACAGTTGGAGGAAGAACTACAAAAAATTCCAGGCGATTGCGAGGCTCAAAAATTATTGTCGAACTTGGCGGAAGTTCAGGGTCGCATCGCGACGCTTCTGGCGCAGGCAGAGCAAGGGCGAGCCACCCTGGAAGATGCGCGAGGTCAGCAGGAGCAGCGTGGTCATGATATTCACGCGTACAAGCAGTTCTTGGACGAAACCGATGCATGGCTGAAGAACATCGTAGCGGGTATGAAGGAGCAACAACCAATCGCCACGAATCAGGTGTGTTTATGTTAGAAAAAATTTCATTTTGCCATAATTAGAAACCTATACATTAAAAAAATTGATACAATTTCAATCAATCAATTTTTCATTCTAAATATTTCTAACAATGAGTCGTCGATTGTATAAAGAAATCTTTGAATCACCTACAATCGATCACGAAAATATTCGAACACCTTTCAATACGAGATAACTTTTTTCTACTTCAACAAACAATTTAGTTTCGTTTGAAATTTCAAACGTTTAGTCTAGTTGATAGTCTGTAAAAGATATTGTTCAAAAATTGCTATCTAATGGAATAGTAGATTAAGCCTTCGAAGCTCCGTTCCATATGTCAAAGGCAGACATATGCCGATCAATTTTCGTACATTTTGCACAGTTAACGCCTACGTACTACGCCTAGTAATAAACCATCGGTTCTGTCCGACTGCAGATATTTCTGTACATCCCCTATCCTCTACCGAGTCCTCAAAGGTTCCAACAGTTTTAAGGAAGCCTCTTTTTATGGTCCAGAGCGGTTCTTACTTGACCATTTGCTACGAAGGGTATAATATGGACAATGGAGGCAATCTGCGAGAGGTTGATTCTTTCGTGAGCAAAAACGTAGCATGCCAAAAAAATTAAATTGACTGAAAAAGTTATTCCGTTTTAAAAGATGGCCGAATATTTTCGTAACCAAATGTATTCACTTTCGAGATCGTGGCTAAGTGTTCAATTTCCAAAATGTTTCAAAAAATTTCTTGATGTAAGACTCGTGGTGTTACTCGCGGATTTTCATTTCGTGCGAAAACCTCCGTCGTTTTCGAATGGTGGCGCGCGCGGTTTATTTTTAAACGGGAACCACATTCGAGATCACACACGTAAATCTCTGTGTACGGACACAGGCTTTGCAGGATGAGCTTAGCAGTCACGCGCAGCGAGTTTCGGAGCTTGAATCGTTGCCAGAGATCAGCACGCTGGCAAAGGTGCTGAAGAATGCGCTGTTGGAAGTGATGTCGCGTCTGCAGCAAAGGCAGCAGGTACCCAACGTTTTCCAATGCTCGGTGGCTTTCACAAACTTCGCTGGTCGCAGCGCAACATGCTCGTGAAGTGCACACGATTATAAAAAAAGAAACAGAGTCCATAAAAAATAGCAAAATTATTACTTATATATGTATGATGGCTACAAGAACTTTTACACGCGGTTTTGTACAAAAGATATTTTATTTAAAAAAACTCATGTGTATTTTGCTTTATCGATTTATAAATTTTATATTATATCAAAAAGCGCATTCTAACTGTAAAACTGATTGATATATTCCAAACTATCCCGTCTTCAATTTGTCTTATGACAAAAGAGAATATTCTTCGATTGGCAAATTCAAATCTCAGGAACGAAAATGTTCCATACGCTGAACCTGATACGTAAAACTAATTTTGTGTAAAGATATTTTCTTGTAGCCACTGTATTTATATATCGGTAGATGTAACATTATCAATTTATTATTGAACTTGATAATAGAGGGAAAGCAATGAAAATTCTAATTTATTGATTTTAGTAAAATTCTAGTCTATTTTGGTGGCGGGTGGGAAGTAAAATAAAAAGTATTCAATCTCTTCCTAGAGTAAGAGATCTTTAAGAATAACAAGGGTGTATGTACAATATATACTGGCTATATTTTGTACCAGATGGAAGCAGGATGATAGATGTAACAGAGCATGTAACATTCATATTTTATTTTCCTTCGCTACTTCTACTTAGTAATATATGTTTGTCGTATCATTTTGCACGATATTTATTAATGGGTAAACTAAAACAGGATAATGGTTCATCAAACATGTACACAATTATTGTTTCACCTTTAATTTCTTATTGTCACCGCATCATTAATTTATTCCATCTAAGCTTCTCACGCAACGTATTATAGTCATTCACATTCATCGCACTGTCTTGTCTACACATTTCATAATTTCACGGTGTATGTACTTATTTATTTATTTATTTATTTATTTATACGTACATATAACGCACATTTTATGTTCCTTTAGCTTAAGGTAATGGATGTAATTGTATAGGCGCAGCATTTTTCTCGAAGGAATGTTAATATGATTACTCTGTAATTTTTTTCATGCTGTAATTAAAGTATTCTCATTATAATTCCCATCTCCCCCCTTTTTTATTTATACCCCCGATTACCACCAAGGTATTGTATGTATATGTATATATGTACTTGTCGGTGTGTAACATAATACGGATGATCTACAGACAATTTTTCTTGTAAAAAATTTTAATTTGGCCATGATATAAATTTTTCCATGTTTTATTTCATGTTCTGTAGTAAATTTGCGTTTGTTCGATAGATGGATCTGATTTATTTTTTCAAATACATATACATATACCACTTAGCGTGCCGAAAATAAATTCATTAAAATAAAGTCGCGCGTAGCGTTCACTTGGAGCTAAAAATACGCTAGTGTTACGCGGAGTGTTCTTGTCTGCGGATATTCTCGTTCTCGATCCTCGGCCATCATGTTTTCTAAATAATTTCTTCCATCTCCGTTTCTCCATCGACACCATGCAGGTGCAGCTATATCGATCGAAATAGTTGACGACCACCAAATCATCATGTAACAATCGTTGTAAACGTTCACACAAAACCAAACAGTAATTAATGTGGGTGCCTATGATTAACCAACACGCATTACAATTCGTAATCGTGGGTACCGGTATCGCGCCATCGCTTTCAGTCTTATTACATAACAGACTTGTGAATATTTTTCCTATTCAGCGTAATACTTCAAGCTTTAAAGGGTAACTTACGGTATATCTAATAAATGCCGTAAAGCAGATTGTTCATACACATTGTTGTTTTGCTAAAGAAATGCTTAAAAATGCCTTAAAATTTAAGGAGTGATAATGGTTTTACTCGGGCGAAGAAAATAATTACACCTGCTAGCTACTTGAAGGCGTAGATTAATTACATGTACATGTAGTATAATTTAATGCTTCGTTCCTTAGAGCTTCAATCAGCTTTGTAAATGAAAATAAAATTTCACACAGATATTAAATGCGACAACCACAAAGTCCTGCAGTCGAAGTACCAGTGATGCCACAGTGGACTAAATGGATGAACTTCGTGTGAAAACCGTAGAACTTCTCAAGGAAATCAAATAGTTCGATGATTCTTGAAGCATTATTCCTCTTTGATTAAATGGGAAGTGTTACAGAATAAGTGAAAAATATAAAGAAAACGTTAAATATAATACAATATTTTTTAAAATATATAATAA